TCTCCTTGAATCGTAGAGATAAAATTGGATTTTTTTCCTTTTTTTTCTCTCTTTCTCTCTAACGTCTGAAACCAGCTGAATATTAGAGATATTTCAGCATCTGCTGAAATATCTGATATTTAGCCCTATTTATAATTTTTAAGGCTTGGCCCGAGTCGTGCCATGTGTCCCCCTTTGTCCGGGTCTGTTTTCGCCCCGAAACGATTAAATTTCATACCGGTTTAAGCTCAAAATATTTTATATGAACTTTATTTAAAATATTTTTTAAATTTCAAAATTTTTATAAAAATTTTATTTTTGGGGGTCACTGAACAACTATCTCAGAATTCGATTAAAATTGACAAGGCAGCTAGATTTCGCGATGCGAATCTAACGGTAAGGTCCATTGTCTCATCCGAGCTCTATAAAAATATGTATTTTAAATAGGCATTAGAATGATAAATTACCATTTTGCCCTTTTCAGAAAAAAAAAATCAAATTTTTTTCGAATTTCACAATTATTAACAACTCATTTTCAATCCGATGACGATGAATGGTATTTACAATTCATTTTTCAAAGAAAATCACCATCTGAGAAATTAATCGTCGTTGAATAAGACTTATTTTGAATAAGACTTATCAATTCAACTCATACGTTTGATTCAAAAAAATAAATATAACAAATATGTAAAGATTACATATTTGTTTCTTAAAATAACTGTCAACAGATGCATAAATCTCTCACAAAACTGCTCATTCAAAATTCAAAAATAAAAAGATAACAAATATGTAATCTTTATTTATTCGTTTGTTAAAATAACTGTCAATCATGACTGCATAAAATAAAAAATGGTGTTTAAGTAAAAAGGATTTTAATTCATTTGGATTTTGTACCTAAACATAAAAAGTATTATAAAAATTGTACTTAATAGAATAAATCATTTATCCATACACTTTTGTTCAAATAAGTATTAAAAATTATACCTACACCTAAAAAACCCATAGTTTTTTATCTACCAATTACTATAAAATTGTCATTGGAGCATCGGACAGGCCACAGATATCTGGGCCCGTGATGGGCTTCCCATTGGGACTAGACACGGGACCTGTTGTGCCCAACCCACGGGCTATGTAGTTGGACCCAGAATGGCATATCCCCGGACTAGCCCACCCGTAGCCATGCCTAAGCTTGAGGCCCTACAAGGCTCATGTAATAGCAGTAATAATACACAATAATCTTCAAGGCTAAATTTCTAAGTTTAAGGTCATTGGACAATACTATTTACTGAATTGCTTGAATTAGTTGAAAGAAACGAGGCTTCTTACCCGGCTGATCCCGCTGATCTCTTTCAACAAGACTTCTAGAATTTGTGTGTGGTGGAGATATATTTGAATTATATTTTTTTGGTGTTTATTGGACTGAATTATTACTTTTTTTTTCATGCCTCGTTTTCTAGAATATGATTGACCTACACAAGGATTAACTTGAAAATAGCTAGAATTTGAAGGTTGAATGCAAAAGATTTTCTAATTTATTTCATTCTATTCTATCATTTTCCATTTAAAATTTAACGAAAATTGGTCAAAAGCACTGCGGTTTATCACCCCCCCCCCCNTAGGTAAAAAAATGAATTTTAATCGGCTGAAATTTTAATCGAATTTTATGTAAAAAGATGTTTGAAATTTATGCAAGGGTAATTTTAGTATTTTAGATAATTTATTTTTGTTATAACTTGTGGTTTAATGGTAAAAGATGTCAGTGATATTTAAATATAAATTAGAAGAGGTGTCAATGATGTTTTTATAATAAAAAGAGTGTCTTTAAAATATAATAAAAAAAGAGTCTTTAAAAATATAATAAATTAGAAGGGATATGACTAAAATTTTCCCTACTTTTATTATCTTTTTGCACCCCCCTTCTGTGAAATATCAGGAAAGGCCCAAAACGTGGTGCGTCTCATATGTGTGCTAACACTTCAATTAATTATTTAGCCATTTTCAGCTTTCAACCTTCTTTTTTTTTCTTTTTTTGTTTCGACGGTTAGGGTATTCGGATCAGTTTATGCGCACATCGATTAATTTTCTCTCCGGTCTGATCAAAAATAATTCATCCACGGCCTCAAAAGATTATTAAAATTCGAACTCAAAACGTTTAAATTTATAGTTCGTCTTTGTTATCATTTGAGCAGCTCCTTTGATTCTTTAAACCTTTGTTTGCTTGAGTGTTTTACGAACAATTGGTTCAAAAGAATGTGCAAACTGCTCTTCTTTATTTAGAAAATTGGGTCACTGTTTGCTTTGTTTAAGTACTTTTCCTCTTCTTTTGATACAATTTGCCGAGCTAGCTAGGATTTATATGCATGGTTAATTCGATCATGGATGCATTTGTCATTCGTGTATGGGTGTTATGGATGGGAATCTAGAAATCTTTCTTCGACAAAAGATCATACATCCATTCTTTATCCAATAATGATACACCGGTCAAAATTAAAAATTAAAAAGAGTAATCAAATGACATGGCGGCTGACGTGAAAGGTTGATTAGTCTTCCACATTAGTCGTCATGTCATTTGGTCACTCTTTTTGGTCCAATAATGCTATTCTGATTAAAATTAGGGATTAAAAAAAATGACTAAATGACATGGCGGTTGATGTCCTAATCACTCTTTTTGGTTCCTAATTTTGGTTAGTATAGTATTATTATTCTTTATCATCTTTACACAAAAAGAAAAAAAATTAATATGGGCATCTCTCTCTCTCTCACACAAACACACGTGTGTGTGTGCGCGCGCGCATGGTAGTATGGGACCTAAAAAAAATTAAGGAGTAAAACTTAATGAGATTTCCTCTGGATCCATCAATAGTGCTTAATTNTAATTCAAATTTTAATCCGTAAAAGAATTTTAATATGCCCAAATTTTAATAATAAAAAAATAAAATTTAATCAGTTCAAATCGAATTTTAATCGACTTAAATTTTAATATATAGAAAATATAATTTTAGTCAACTAGAATTTTAATAGGTAAAAAAATGAATTTTAATCGGCTGAAATTTTAATCGAATTTTATGTAAAAAGATGTTTGAAATTTATGCAAGGGTAATTTTAGTATTTTAGATAATTTATTTTTGTTATAACTTGTGGTTTAATGGTAAAAGATGTCAGTGATATTTAAATATAAATTAGAAGAGGTGTCAATGATGTTTTTATAATAAAAAGAGTGTCTTTAAAAATATAATAAAAAAAGAGTGTCTTTAAAAATATAATAAATTAGAAGGGATATGACTAAAATTTTCCCTACTTTTATTATCTTTTTGCACCCCCGTTCTGTGAAATATCAGGAAAGGCCCAAAACGTGGTGCGTCTCATATGTGTGCTAACACTTCAATTAATTATTTAGCCATTTTCAGCTTTCAACCTTCTTTTTTTTTCTTTTTTTGTTTCGACGGTTAGGGTATTCGGATCAGTTTATGCGCACATCGATTAATTTTCTCTCCGGTCTGATCAAAAATAATTCATCCACGGCCTCAAAAGATTATTAAAATTCGAACTCAAAACGTTTAAATTTATAGTTCGTCTTTGTTATCATTTGAGCAGCTCCTTTGATTCTTTAAACCTTTGTTTGCTTGAGTGTTTTACGAACAATTGGTTCAAAAGAATGTGCAAACTGCTCTTCTTTATTTAGAAAATTGGGTCACTGTTTGCTTTGTTTAAGTACTTTTCCTCTTCTTTTGATACAATTTGCCGAGCTAGCTAGGATTTATATGCATGGTTAATTCGATCATGGATGCATTTGTCATTCGTGTATGGGTGTTATGGATGGGAATCTAGAAATCTTTCTTCTGACAAAAGATCATACATCCATTCTTTATCCAATAATGATACACCGATCAAAATTAAAAACTAAAAAAAGTAATCAAATGACAGGGCGGCTGACGTGGAAGGTTGATTAGTCTTCCACATTAGTCGCCATGTCATTTGGTCACTTTTTTTGGTTCCTAATTTTAGTTAGTATAGTATTATTGTTCTTTATCATCTTTACACAAAAAGAAAAAAAATTAATATGGGCATCTCTCTCTCTCTCACACATGTGTGTGTGCGCGCGCGCGCATTGTAGTATGTGACCTAAAAAAAATTAAGGAGTAAAACTTAATGAGATTTCCTCTGGATCCATCAATAGTGCTTAATTACCTCATGCACCGGCTAAAAGCAGCACAAAACAACTCTTTTACGGAACTTTTGTCATCTTACAAAGCTAGTTGAGTCACTAGAGAAGTTGCAAGTGGGTACTGATATAAACCATTTCCTTGTTTTCTTAATGGGTTGGTGCCATTGACGGCCATCTATTGAACCAATGAGCATTCTTCTTAATTTTATCCCCAAAAGTGTGAAAATAATGCTACATATATACTAAAACTAAACGTAAAATACTGTTCTGTAACAATGATGTGTCAATTGAAATGGTTCAACAAAATTATTGTGATAACATTTAAACGGCCGGTTTCACCTATCTTCCACTTCTAGTTGTCTATTAATTTCTGTTGGTTATAACTCTTTCAATGCCAAGATTGTAAGGTTGTAAAGTAATTGTGAAGGAATATTGTTTAACCTCATTTCCAATAGGTAGAATTTTGAAAAAATTGGTACCCCAATGCATGGCCTTAAAGAGAAAAATATTCAAAACCATCAACACAAGAAGGCAGCTCAAAAACAATAGCACCCAAATAAATATTAATCAAACCTACCATACTTTATCACTTTACAAAAAGTAATCACTTTGAAAAAAATAACCTGTGATTAGACCTACCGAAATATCTACCTTTTTCTTTGGAAATTAAACCCAAACAAGGATAGAAATAGCTTTTTCTCTACTACATAGTCCAGTGTTTGCATTGCTCTATGTTCAGTCTGATGAAAATCCTCCCTCAGGTTTTCTAGACCCCCTTGAAACCCACCTTAAAACCCTAATTTATAATAAACCCCTCTTGGGAAATCATTGTTTGTTCACAATGGATCCTCTCAGGATGAAGAAGATTCAAGCCATGAAAAAGTACAAGAAGCAACAAGTTCTATGTAACCTTATCGTTTATTCTTTAACAGCATTCACATGCATGTTGTTTTGTTCTAGTCCCTTCTGGCATCCCCCTCTACGTGCCACTATGAACGTCTTCCTCACCATCTCTCTACCAAAAATGACATCACTTTTCTTGGGATCCAAATTTCTCTTCATATTAGGCAACCTCATTGTTATATTCCTCGTCCAACAGTCCAATATCTTCAACCCAGATTCGTCTTCGGGTTGTGATGTTTGTTATGATGAGTACGTTAATAGGACTCGAACCCTTCGAAATCACTCTCCTCTTGACAAGAAGGAAGAGAGGAAATTGGTTGAGTCACTTGAGAATGTCCAAGGTACTCATGAGGATTTAGACGGAGAGGAGCTGAGTTTGCCTGCTGAAGAGCTAAACAAGAGGGTTGATGATTTCATTGCAAGGATCAACAAACAAAGAAGGCTTGAAGCTGTACAACAGTTTGGAAAAGTGAGTGGCTAGGCAAAAATAAAATTACCTAAATTAAATGGGAATAAGGAGAAATAAGAGAAAAACAAAGTGGCCTTCCAAAAAAAAAAGCAAAGTAGAGTGGAAAATCAGAGAGTCGTAGATTTTGAATAAGTGTTAAGCTAATAATAACTTGTTAAAACCTTCATGTTGTTGCTGTATGGTTTTTTCAAAACCAAAAATGACGAAATGAAAGGAAAAAAAAAGACAAAATTAGAAGAAGCAGAAAAGAAACAGAGACTAACCAATTTTACTTTTTCTCTTCTAAATGGGCCTTTTGAAGAATTAGATGTGCTGAGTAGTCATATGTGCAAGCATATGTCCATGGTTTTGCCTAGTATAATGCTAAATAAACTTTATTTTGATGCAGTGGACTGTATATATAATTTGATTGTCCTTAATACAAAGCGCGGGCAAGAACCCAAATACAGCGAGAAATATACAAAAAAAGAAAGAAAAATAGCATAGAAGTCCTGGTACCACCCAAATTTCTGTATACAGTGAGAAGTATTGCAATCCCGATTCAACCTTTGAGGGGATATGATTTAGTACTTTGTTTTAGGACTCATGTTGTGATTAGCATGTGAAGTTAACATTGAAAAAAAATTTGATATTTCTTCCCCGACCAAATTTAATGCCTAAATTATGGCACTTCGAAGTTCAGATTTCTTCCATTTCTTGTTCACTGCGACTCAACTGTTTGGCTAGACGTTTGAGGTCTGAAGTTTGTTGGTAACCAACCGCCAGACAAGCCAATGTAGCATTCCTATCTCTTCCTGATGAAGCCTAGCTCCTTTGATTTGAATGAATGAGGAACCAAATCAATCAATTAAGATAAAACTTTCAAGAGAAGAAGAAAATAAGTACGAGCCTATTTTCCGACAAATATGGAAGAGGTCTACCGATTCTCCATAATTCCATTGAATAGTAGGCCACCATCGTCTATTAATACACCAAAATAGATACAAATATTAATACAACAAAACTCACACACACATTAATATTCTAAAATAGTACACATCAATCATTAATACACTAAAACAAACACACAAACACATATTAATACACCAAAAATACACACACACATGCACACTAATCCACTAATACACACACACACACACACTAACTAATACAACAAAACACAAGTACACACACATTCACTAATACACCGAAACCCCCTACACGCTAATACACANAGTGAGTGGCTAGGCAAAAATAAAATTACCTAAATTAAATGGGAATAAGGAGAAATAAGAGAAAAACAAAGTGGCCTTCCAAAAAAAAAAGCAAAGTAGAGTGGAAAATCAGAGAGTCGTAGATTTTGAATAAGTGTNAAAAACACACACACACACGCACACACACTAATCCACCAACACATACACACACTTATACTAATCCATAGTATAAATGTGTGTATTTCGTTGTGTTGTAGAGTATTAGTTTATGTTTGTGTGTATGCATTTTGGTGTGTCAGTTTATGTATATGCGCTTTTGATGTATTAGTGTACGTAGGTGTGTGTTTTTTAGTGTATTAGTGTTTGAGGGGGGTGTGTGTATATTTGGGGGTTATTTTATTGTATTAGTGTGNGAGAGGAGAGAGCAGCGTCTTCGAATAGTAGCTGAGTGTGCACGAGAGTTGGGGGCTGCTGACGTTATAGCAATTCGTGCTGATGTTTCCAATGTTGATGACTGCAAGCTCGTCGTTGATGAAACCATGAATCGCTATGGCTGTCGTAAGTTACAATTGGGTGGAATATTATTTTTCCTTTGATTTCGTGTCTTACTATTTTTCTATCAAGCTCATAAATGGGAAGAAATCGAGGAAAATTGTCTTAGTCTAATCTGTAAAAATGTATAATGGATTCATGTGGGTGTATAGTTTTCACAGTGGATCATCTGGTAAATAATGCTGGTGTCAATCAAGTCTGTATGTTGGAAGAAGTCGATGATATTACTGATCTCAGACCCGTAATGGTACTGTCCTAACCAAAACTCTGTTGTATTAAGATTATGATTGGATCTATTATTGCTAAATATCTTAAGCTTTACTGCTCACGAGTCACAAACCAATGATGAGTCTGCTTCCCTTATTAGTTTGCATACATTGTTTCTATTAGGAATGGCTATTTTGGATGTGTCCTCTGCGAATCCAACACAGAAACTTGGTAGAACATGATTGAGTAGCTATTGGCACAAAGAATATAAGAACAAGATCTGCAAACACCAATAATTAAAGGGTCGGTTTAACTTGAATTCTAGGGAAAAGTGTAAGATCGTATTTATTTTTCATTTCTTGATAGTCTTAAGAATTCTCTGACGTTTACAGATTTATTTTTCCGAATGATAACTTCTACAAAGATGATACTCAAGCTAACATGCAATGGCTTCTCAGGATATTAACTTTTGGGGTTCCGTTTATACTACCCAGTTTGCCGCACCACACCTAAGAAACAGCAAGGGTAAGATCATTGCCCTTTCTTCATCTGCTTCATGGTTGCCTAAGCCAAGGATGAGCTTGTACAATGTGAGTCATGTGATTAGCATATATGTGCTCTTTGTGTTTCCTCTAATATCTTAAACCTGGTTCTACCAATTTAATGGTTACTTATAGGCAAGCAAAGCAGCAATGGCACAATTTTTTGAGACTCTGAGGGTTGAATTTGCACCGGACGTCAAGATAACACTAGTGACTCCTGGGTTTATAGAGTCCGAGTTAACCCAAGGAAAATTCTTAACAGAGGGAGGCAAAGTGGTGGTTGATCAAGAAATGAGGGATGTAAGTTTTTCTCCTTCGATTTGTTGCTTCTCCTAAAGTATACCAAGTACATGACTCTGCTGCATTCTTGTGTCCATAATATATATAATAGAAGAGTAATGTTACATTTATCAATTTTGAGATTAAATATTCATCCCAAATGACATAGTAGTATATTATTTAAATTTTTTATTGGGGTCTAAATGATATGGCACCAAATAAAAAATTCAAATCAACTGTCATGTCATTTGGGATGGATATTTGGTCCCAAAATTTAGTCAGTCTAGCATAATTGATAATAGAATAGCTTACAATTCAAATTTCAAAAAATAAACAAAATAACTTGNATAAATCAATCAATTAAATTTTTTTTATTAATTTCAGTATACTATCCCCCATATATTCTTCCCTATCCTTTTTTTTTGTCAACATATAAATGTAGTACACTTTCTACCCTCTAAAGTATAAGGGTTTCATTTATTTTGATCTTTGACATGGATAAAAGAGGAGAAAAAAAATAAAGATGCATATTTCAGTTTGAATTTACTTATAAATTAACATTAAATCAATTGTATATATATGTATCTTCTACGGGTATAAAGATAAAAAAAAAAACTCACATCTCAACCCACATGATCATGCTTTCTTCTAAATATTTTGGAGGGATATATTTCAGTGAATTAAAAAAAACTAATACTTTCATTTTTTTTCCTGATAACCAATCATAATTTTTTATTCATCTCACATTTTCACCCTTTTACTTTTATATCCTCCTAATTTTTCATTGTAACAAAACAACTATCAAACAAACCATTTGATTTGATAAAAAAAACGAAAAATGGGCGTTCGGTGGTCGGACTCGGCTTTCCTCTTCTTGGAGACAGGTGTCTCTGGGGCCATGGTAATAGTGTCTGGGTGGTGGGGGTTGGGGCTATCCCATATCGGATAATGTTTGGGTGTCTGAGTTATATATAAAGTTTTCACCGGCCTTACTTAACAAAGTAAGTGGTTAGTGTTTGATTAAAAAAAAAAATCTCATTGAGTATTTATTGTGAAGGTTTAAAATATTCTCTGTTGTATTTTTCAGTATCTTGCTTATGAGTACGCAAGGAGAGGGGCATGCTTAGCTCTTGTAGAGAGGAGAGAGCAGCGTCTTCGAATAGTAGCTGAGTGTGCACGAGAGTTGGGGGCTGCTGACGTTATAGCAATTCGTGCTGATGTTTCCAATGTTGATGACTGCAAGCTCGTCGTTGATGAAACCATGAATCGCTATGGCTGTCGTAAGTTACAATTGGGTGGAATATTATTTTTCCTTTGATTTCGTGTCTTACTATTTTTCTATCAAGCTCATAAATGGGAAGAAATCGAGGAAAATTGTCTTAGTCTAATCTGTAAAAATGTATAATGGATTCATGTGGGTGTATAGTTTTCACAGTGGATCATCTGGTAAATAATGCTGGTGTCAATCAAGTCTGTATGTTGGAAGAAGTCGATGATATTACTGATCTCAGACCCGTAATGGTACTGTCCTAACCAAAACTCTGTTGTATTAAGATTATGATTGGATCTATTATTGCTAAATATCTTAAGCATTACTGCTCACGAGTCACAAACCAATGATGAGTCTGCTTCCCTTATTAGTTTGCATACATTGTTTCTATTAGGAATGGCTATTTTGGATGTGTCCTCTGCGAATCCAACACAGAAACTTGGTAGAACATGATTGAGTAGCTATTGGCACAAAGAATATAAGAACAAGATCTGCAAACACCAATAATTAAAGGGTCGGTTTAACTTGAATTCTAGGGAAAAGTGTAAGATCGTATTTATTTTTCATTTCTTGATAGTCTTAAGAATTCTCTGACGTTTACAGATTTATTTTTCCGAATGATAACTTCTACAAAGATGATACTCAAGCTAACATGCAATGGCTTCGCAGGATATTAACTTTTGGGGTTCCGTTTATACTACCCAGTTTGCCGCACCACACCTAAGAAACAGCAAGGGTAAGATCATTGCCCTTTCTTCATCTGCTTCATGGTTGCCTAAGCCAAGGATGAGCTTGTACAATGTGAGTCATGTGATTAGCATATATGTGCTCTTTGTGTTTCCTCTAATATCTTAAACCTGGTTCTACCAATTTAATGGTTACTTATAGGCAAGCAAAGCAGCAATGGCACAATTTTTTGAGACTCTGAGGGTTGAATTTGCACCGGACGTCAAGATAACACTAGTGACTCCTGGGTTTATAGAGTCCGAGTTAACCCAAGGAAAATTCTTAACAGAGGGAGGCAAAGTGGTGGTTGATCAAGAAATGAGGGATGTAAGTTTTTCTCCTTCGATTTGTTGCTTCTCGATTTCATATGGTTCATGTACTGAGACGACGTAAGAACACAGGTATTATATATATATAGAAGAGTAATGTTACATTTATCAATTTTGAGATTAAATATTCATCCCAAATGACATAGTAGTATATTATTTAAATTTTTTATTGGGGTCTAAATGATATGGCACCAAATAAAAAATTCAAATCAACTGTCATGTCATTTGGGATGGATATTTGGTCCCAAAATTTAGTCAGTCTAGCATAATTGATAATAGAATAGCTTACAATTCAAATTTCAAAAAATAAACAAAATAACTTGTGCTTTTTGGGGTTCAAATCGTTTTAAATTTTACTTTAAAGTTAATCTAACGGCTAATATTAACACTCTAAATTTAATAGAAAAAATAGAAGCCTAAGGGTGTGTTTGAAATAATTTTTTAAAAATACTTCTAAAAATTATTTCTCCTAAATATTTTTAAAACAATCGTGTTTCAAACTGTCTCACCACTACCTCTACCACCACCGCCACCGCCACCACCTCCACCACCATCACCGCAACCACCACGGTCATTGTCACCCACCACAACCATCACCGTCTCTTACCATCACCACTGTCGCCCACCACCTCTCACCCCACTACAACTGATGTTTAAATTCATTTATTTTTCATCTATGTTTGTAACTTGATTTTGAATATGAATACAAATATGTTAATTATTTACTATTTTTTATTACTATATGCCTTCAGGCACAGACAATTACTAGTCTATATAATAAAGTAGGTTACAATTTAAATTTCAAAAATAAATAAAATGACTTTTATTTTTTGCAGTTTAGATCACTTTAAATTTTACTTTAAAGTTAATCTAATGACTAATATTAACACCCTAAATTTAATAAGAAAAATAGGGTCATAAGGGTGTGTTTGGAGTGACTTTTTAAAAGCACTTTTAGGAATTATTTCTCATAAATACTTAAAAAAAATTAGTGTTTAAAACCGTTCTACCATTATCACCACCACCATCGCCGCCACAGTCGATGCTGTCGCCGTCGCTGTTGCCACCGCCACTGTCACCGTCGCCCCAATTACCGCCACCACAGTCAATATCACCCACCACAACCATCACCGTCTCCTATCACCACCACTATCGCCAACCACCTCTCACCCCCACTGCAATCGATGCTTAAATTCATTTATCTCTTCTCTATATTTGTGATTTAATTTTTGATATAAATACAAATATGTTTATTGTTTATCATTTTTTGTTCCTCTATGCCTTCAAGCACATGCAATAATTAGTCTATATAATAAAATAACTTACAGTTCAAATTTCAAAAGATAAACAAAATGACTTTTGCTATTCGTAATTGAGATCACTTTAATTTTTATTTTAAAGTTAATCTAACAGTTAATATTAACACCCTAAATTTAATAGGAAAAATAGGCTCCTAAAAGTGTATTTAGAGTAACTTTTTAAAAATATTTTTAAAAATTATTTCTCATAAATATTTATAAAAAAAATAGTATTTGAAACCACAGTCATTGTCACCTACCACAACCATCACCGTCTCCTATCATCACCACTGTCTCTTTCCACCTCTCACCCCCACTACGAACCGATGCTTAAATTCATTTATCTTTTTTTTATGTTTGTGATTTGATTTTAGATATGAATACAAATATGTTTATTGTTTACCATTTTTTTTTACTTTGTACCTTCAGGCACAAATCATAACTAATGGTCTCATATAATATCAACAATGCTTTTCATAATTGTGTATGTTAATACTGTTAGTATAAATTCTTAAAGTTATACCTTTTTTAACAACTTAAATTTTTGAAGTAGATAATTGTTTAATATGGTATCAAAGCAGGAGATCTTGTGCTCGGATCTCGCCACCACCCTAATTAACTAATAACTATCGTTGATCTACCGTTATTTGTGTCTGTGATCAACAAAAAGTATATGTCTGACGTCAATTGAAAGTATTTTTCGTTCAAGTGAGCATAATGCCCGTCGCTGCAGCAGAAGCATGCGCCAAAGCGATTGTGAATAGTGCATGCAGGGGAGACAGATATGTGACGCATCCAGCATGGTTTAGCGTCACGTTTCTGTGGAAGGTGTTCTGCCCTGAGGTGATGGACTTGTTTTTCCGACTGCTGTATAATCCTAGGCCCGGGGTTTCACTAGAGGAAACACTAAGCAAACAGATCTTGGATCTCACCGGGTCCCAGAAAGTACTTTACCCAGGGAACATCCAAACACCTGAGCAGAAAACAGATTAATATCAAACTGGCATGTGTACTGTAATGGAATGGCCNCAGAAAGTACTTTACCCAGGGAACATCCAAACACCTGAGCAGAAAACAGATTAATATCAAACTGGCATGTGTACTGTAATGGAATGGCCTTAGTGTTGTGTTTAGACCCCTCTGATATTAAGAACATTACGTGGTGTGCATAAATAAATCTCAATAATGTTTGTATACAATTTACTTTTGTGCAAGCGTACCTTACCAGAATTTTTTCTTTTGTTTTTTTGGGTCCAAGGGTGGAGGGGGTTTGGTGTGGAGGGAAGTGTGTGTAAGCCTTCTCCTAATCTCGCTGATGTCGCGTGTTTGGATCCAGCTTTTTTATGTTGTTTTGTCCAAACATCATAAAATAGCTCCACCCNCTCCTAATCTCGCTGATGTCGCGTGTTTGGATCCAGCTTTTTTATGTTGTTTTGTCCAAACATCATAAAATAGCTCCACCCATTTGGCCCCCGGCTTTTTCATCAGATTTCATAACAGTTCTTGACCTTAAAAAATCGTTTTGCAAGGCTATTTTGAAGTTTTTACTGGATTTAACATGAACGGAAGTGCAATGTTCATGAACTTTTGTGAATTAATTCCATGGTATGTTACAATGTGGCATTGTGATGAGGGTTAAATGAAAATTGACTTCCATAAACTTGTGCATAGTACCCATCCTTTGATTAGGTACAATGTTTTAAAATCCTGTGTAGGGTTACAAGTTCAAATAAATCATACAAATATCTGATGGATGAACAAAACACCACCTCCTAATTAACCAACTGCAGTCCTTTTTTGTACAATCTGGTGTGATCTGAGGTTTTGCCATTTTATCGGTGCAGGTCTTGTAGCTTGTCTTTGTGTTCACCTGAATCAGCGCAACAACATATTGGACCTGAATGCACCGAACTTTTAGGAATTCTTCAAGCTCTAGCAGCAGATGGTACAAAATTACTTTTCAAAGAGACTCCCTCACGTATGCCAGCGGCAGCAAATAACTAATTTCTCCCCTTCACATAANGTACAAAATTACTTTTCAAAGGACTCCCTCACGTATGCCAGCGGCAGCAAATAACTAATTTCTCCCCTTCACATAAGGTTTGTAACTTGTAAGCAATTTAACCAAAGGAGCCGGACAATAAACCCAAGTTTCCTTTCGAAGGATGATGCAATTGCACTCGGTGCGGACTTCCTGAAAAGCTTCACCACCTCCTACCGAGCATAGCACATCTGGAGTCAAATCCAATGCGAGCCAAAAGTTAACATTCCTGTATGCGAGGATATTCTCAATGGTACAAATTCCTTTGCACTTTCCGTCCTTGCTTGTGGCGTTCACCTGAATCAATTGAACACTGTGAATCAGACCACAGTTTCTCATTTCACTGTCACCAAGCACAAGGTGCAGCATGTGTGTCGATCAAGTCATGGGGATAATTCAATGGGATCCATGATGGGATGCTGCTGTGGTTGAGCAAAATTGGAGGACTTTAGTCTTCTCAGAAGCAACCAGGCATCAGGTGCAGGGCAACCTTGGTTCATATCAATGGCAATTGGAATAGAAGAGGCTTCATTCAGCTGTACAAGCATCGTACCCTGAAACAGCGTTACAGAATCAAAAGCTTGTTGATTATTGTAGGAATATTTATAAGATCTGTCCTCTTAATCTGAAACTGCCCATCAGTCTTTAGAGTAGAGTACAAAGATCCAGTGCTAGCTGAAAGCTTATAAAAGCTGAACATATTACCTCAAAATTCACCAAGAAACTTTGAAATTGTTTCAAAGTCTCTTTCATGTCACTAACTTTCTTCTTGTCTGAAGAAGCGAGAGCAGCAGTGACCTCCTCAGGTGAATGTCCTATTCCTTTCAGTACAACCTGAACACAAATACCATCAACGGACAAGTTAGGTTCTGACAAAAACTTAATTAGCATACCACTAATAAACCCAAATCCAACTTACATGGTGATCGATGAGCATCTCCGAAATGAGGCTACCATCATCTATATAAACCCGCAGCTCAAATTTAGTCCTTTGCTTATATTGGAATCCCTTCACGCCAGTCAAAAAGCACTACATATTTGTGTTCAATTAGTTGCACTGGAGGATAAATTTTGTAAAGAGAATCGGATTCCCACTACCAAACTTGATGAATATGGTCTGAACACATCTCAATGATATTGGATATAAAATTCAAAAGAACATGTGGACAAAAGGAGGCAGCATCAAATGCAAGTTCGTAAATTGTGGTGTTTATCTTCATTCATGCAACCTCAAACTTCCATTGAAAAATGTAACACCACATTTTGACAAATCTGAAGACAGCACAACTATCTTACCTAGAGCAAAGCAAGCCACGCCAAAACAAACTACACTCTATCTTACTGTAGAAGGACATGGTAGCATAAGTCTTAATTTCTATCTAAATGCCTAAATTATAATGCACTGACAAGACAGCAAAGGAAAGAATTGTGGAAATTATAACTAAATGTCAAAGACATACAGTATTATATGACGATGCTCCTTCTACATGAGATTCATCAGATCTCACCTCTCTAAAGTATTTTGCTGTCCACATTGCAGAATTATGAATGCAAAAAAAACTAAATGCAGGGATCCGGAACCATCTTCTGGGTTGACATAAAGTTCATTTTTGTTTGCTGGACTATTTTGTAATTCAAAAGGGCATATTTTAGAAGTTGCAGAGCTCAAGTTGATATTGGATGTTCAATGAGCGACAGAGGCGTGCCTTCCCAAGATTTGTCTGCAGATACTAGAATAGCATAACAATATTCATCTAGCCAATTGCCAAATGTTGGGACAAGAATTTTCTAGAGTGAAAGAAAAGCCTTGATAGGGTTTGACAGCAGTCACAGCACAGAGGAGCTCTATCTATCTAATCAAAGACAAAAATATTCCACCTTGATTTTTCCCTGAACACTGGGAGCTTTGTCCTTCATTGCAGCCCACTTAGCTGACAAACTAGCTAAGTAAGTGAAAGGGATTTCTCTGTTACCACTTAGTATGAACGTTTGTTCGACCGTGTCTACCATATGAACATCCTCAGCAATCAAAACCGTATTAGATGATGTTAAAGTTGCAGCTTCTTCGCTCCTAATGGGAACAGCAACCTCTTCTGAAGTTCTGGCACTGGTGGAAGTACCAGATGAAGTACCTATAGGCCATGGATGGAAACCAAAATTAAGATCCAAAAAAGAGAAACAAGGATGAACATGATATGCCTGTAAGTTCACTCCACTTTCACCAATGTGGTATAAACTTAATTCCCAATAAGAAAACAACCTAACATAAGATTCTAAACAGGTAAATGTGATCATGTGGTACAAATTTTACATCATGTCCCACAATAGGAAAATGAAATCATGCCTCATATCTTACTCCATATATCACAACAAATGTCTTTCAAGAAACAAAGAAAATTTTCATAAAAATTAAAGCTAAATGCACAAAATACTTTAAAAATGAATATACGATAACACTAATGCTATTGAGACATAATTTGGGGACTTAATGCATTGTGACCGTTGGATTAATAGTGTTGGGACCCACTGAAAATTTAATGCTGGGAGCCACTAATAATCTAAGGGCCACAATCTTCAAATTATGTTCTAATAGCATTGCTCATATGATAATTGAAAACCACATCAGCATGCGGTCTGCAATTATTCTGTTTGTCATGTCTCATAATGGTCTTAGAATCAGACGATTATGCTAACTGAACAAATTTTGACATTCAGATACAAAGTTTCACAATTACTGTTAAATTCAAGAACTTTTCCAACAATTTACCATTTACTCACCTTATTTACCCAACAGTAGACCAAATTACAGGGCATTAAAAATGCCGCTGAGGTTTTATCTGTCATTTCACCATCATGCAGTCTATGTGCATATTAAAAACTGCGGAAACGCTTTGGAGAACCACTTGGATATTATTTGGAAAGAGAATAGGGAATTTTAATTTAGATATGAAAACATAACTTAAATAAATTGAAATGTACACATATTTAAGTTGCAAATACATAATTTATCGTTGTATCAAGTTTGTTTTACAATACTTTACTTAGGAGCCAAACTGACTTAAAACAATTATCCACCAAGTAAAATCAGACTCATAAGCCAAATTGCTTTTCTGTTCATAGCAGATCTAGTCCAGAAATAGTAATCTTTTGGTTGGAAAGTCAACAAACAAACATTTCCCAGTGTATCAGTATCACTAATAGGCATAAGAATTTTGCATTCATCCTCACAGAACCTGTGGTTCTCAGCTATATTACTATCATCAATTCGTTAAAAAGTCATACACTCATCGTCACAGCATCGCCACAACACAAACAACTTTCTAAACTCATCTCAATACTTTTATTTTCGAAGCTCATGTCATTGCAGATGAGATTTAGGAGCCCAAATGTGAAAAAACATACGCTGGTTATCTGCCTGAAAAGGAGTTGCAACTTGTGCCATGGGGCTGTTGGTGTGTGCTGTAAGATTGGCACTGTCTGGCGGCCATGCAGCGAGAGTAGCTCTAGTTGCTAAAGAAGGAACCACCCCTGTCCTGGTTCTAGCGTAAGCAGAAGGAGGTTAATGAATTAATAAACGAGAAGTGATCAACGGTTGGATTATAATTAAGCCTTCAGGTTCATGTACCATGTCCATTAGAAAACAAATTATGTAACAAGTCAGCAATGACTAACAAAGTTTATCAGCCTCGCTCCAAACATAGAGACAACTACACATCCTTACAATCCTTGGGTGTATACAACCATGCATTTATCAAAAGACTAATTTACTCCAAATTAAATTCGTAAATGATGCCAGATTTGTCACTAACATAAAAAGTGTGCGTCCAATGAAAATCATTACCAAAATCGCTTTTCCAATATAATGAATAAAATTGGTCTCTTTTTTTCAGTGATTATAATAGGAAGAGAATTGTAACTTACAAAGAAAAAAAGATGAGAGAGAGCCATGAAGAGCAGAAGACAATCAATACTGTCACAACAGCATCTTCAATGAGCCAATGCAACATGAGAAGCAGTAAATTTTGTTGGTCCAACTTAATAATTAATTCGTTGATTCTTACAAGTACCTTTTTCCCCTAGGTGGCTTATTTACTTCATTAACAAGCCTCTGTCGTGCTGCATCCAACTCTTCAACTAAGCCTCCTAAAACTTCAGTAACTTCAGGGACCAACATTAGAAGCCCATGCCTTACATTAACATTGCAAATGGCAACCTACGTAATGCAACAAAAGAAAGATTAAGAATCTTCCCACTTCTGTCAAAAAAAGAGCTAAGGTCACATAAGAAGAGATTCAGGGTTGAAACAAAATGAAAGAGCTACAGGCAAAGTTATCTTATCACACCTAAAGTCAACTTGATTGTAGAATATTCCAAAATTTTGGTTACTTTTCCATGGTCAAAAAACTCACATGCATCCACTTAAACTAAAGTTTTGGGACCTGCAACCCATTTTGCTGTTAACCCATGTGAAAAGCCTTACCAGATAGATTAATATAACATCATCCCTAAAGTCAAACTTTTATTTTCAATTTTGTGAGGAATTTTTGAGAATTTTTCATCAACAGGTGAACCTAAATTAAACCTTGTGGTGAACAAATATTCATTTTCAGAAGTAATAACATTTAGGTAGAAGAGATGAGAAAGAAACCTTCATCCCGGCAGGAGCCAGAACTTCAAGATCTTTTATAGGCCTATATTCCATGCCAAATACACGCTGAACACCATCAGTCAGAGACAACTTGAGGCACCTCTTAATACCAGAAGGCATATTGTGATACCTGCCTCGAAGAGGACAACTGATGTTTACTATCTCATCCACCTACAAAAATTTCACCCAATAAGATTGAAGTTGTATTACTAAAGACAGGAAAAGAAAAATATGTACGCATGATTCATATTCAAGCCTAGACATAACTTGATCATGAGTTGTTCAATGCATCCTGTTAAATCTTAAGTTTCAGAAGTTTAGCCGAAGTTGTCTACACATCCCGAACTCTACAACTAAAGAAAGCTGGCCAAACCCTTTGAAATGAGAGAAGCCTTTAGCTTCAGACAATGATGGAAGCTTCAGATGTCTACAAAGCTCAAATTAACTTCAAAAATACTACATTTTTATATAGTGTAACAATGAGTGAGTAATGATTAGTCGGGTGTGTAAATTTTTGAACTAAAAAATAGTACATTGGCAAGTTTTGATCTTTAAGTAAAATACTATACTTAAATTGTTGATGACATATGAACTGGCTCCATAGTTTGGCTACTCTGATTCTTTTCAGTCATCCCCTGGATCTTACTTCGGGAATACACAATAAGCTTCCATTTATCTAAAATGCAGCTCAAATCTATAAGAATTGAACTATCACAAATTTACAAACATCCCACACCTGCAACACAAATGGCCCCGGCAGATCAACCAGATGCATGTTGTGTACATTTTCCGGAAGCACCCCAGCACCAGTGTAGTTCATATCCGAATACAAGAACTGCTCAAAACAGAGCTTCGCCTTTGTGGCATTATCAAACCTCACAAAGCCCGGAACCAAGCTCTCAAGGTTGCGAATGCAAGAATCTAACCACTCCCTCCGCAAATTCAGACCTAGCCCCCGTAAAAATCCACTGATCGGACAATCAGAGGCTTCAAAGTTGGAATCGGTAGAACTATTCATTGTCGATGCTGTGGATGAGTGGACATATTGAGTGGAAATCGATGGTGCAGGTGCAGGTGCAGATGGAGGCGGAGGCGCAGGTGTAGGTGGAGGAGAGAAGTTTTCGGGGACGTCGACGAAGTCGTCATCGGAGATTTCAAGCTGGACTGCTTCAGAGGGATTATAATTGTGGTTAGGGTTAGGGTTTGGGTTTGAGGAGTTTAGCGTTACTGTTTCAAGGTTTAGTGTAGGTTCTTGTAGTTCGATTTCCACATCGTCGTCGTCGTATTCTTCGACTTGCGGTGGTTGCTGGTGGTGCTGTGGTTCGTCGTGTTCGTCGGAGGAACACACCATTCTAAGGCGTCTTGGCGCCATTTTCGCACCCTCAGCTTTTTTCTGATATTCCCTCCATTTTTTTCACATTTTCGAAGTTTATAAAGCGACGTATCTCAGGGAGGAAAGTAATCATCGTCAAGGCGGTGAAGTATTGGGCTTCCTTCACTTTACAAATTTGGTATTAGCTCTACAATTTCTGGGCTATCTTTTAGCCCAAAAAACACTCAAGTTACCTGAGAAATAAGATGATCTGTGATAAATTTCATCCAACTAGATCCGGCAATTGTGTCCACTGAAGTAAATTCGTATTAAAGAGTATTTTACTTATATTTAATTTTTTCATTAATTCGTGTCATTTCAAATTTGTATAGGTTACAAATTGTGTATAATCAACATATAAACAAGTCATATTGTATATTTTTTTCAATTAACTTCACTCATACCCGATTTTTTAATTAATCGTATCGCGTTGAGTTTACTTATTCACGAAACAGATTGTGTCATATTTTAACACCCTTACATCTAACAATATCATGGATTCAAAGTCTAAGTGTTGGATTACGAAGCATCAAGTAATTTGAACGACAATATTTTATTTTTTATTTCCACAAATTATATTTGAATACATCAAAAATTAGATATTTGATATAAATGTCTAATCCAATCTGATTAACTTAATTAGAGTTGATTTTATCAAACTACATTTGAATTTCACCTCAAATTTTACCCAATCGTCTTTAATTTCATAGAATAATTGTACGTTTACAAGTAGCCTTCATGACGCATTAGTCTTTTAATTCCGTGAACATAATGAACTTTTATTTGTAACTAGAAATCTATTTGTCCAGAGTAGCCGATGCATACAGCAGTCCAACCCTTTGTCGGATGGTCAATTTACTGACCGATCAATGTTAACTTTAAATAATTATGAACTCTAATCCCTCAAAAGTTTTGGGACTTTTATATCAACGGTTGGGTTCATAACAATGGATATCATGGTAAGCACTACGTCATGAGTTCAAATCACAGAAGGAACAATTTATACACTGTATTAAAATATTTTAGTATTATGTATTGGTATAATACTATCGCGTTGAATACTGCTAGGTGAGTAAAACCATCAAAAAGAAAAGACTACTGTTAATCCAGTGTCAATAGAGTGAGTCGTCATAGCGTCGGCTCTAGCTCTAACCCTCACAAGTCATGGGACTTTTAGATCAACGGTTGGATTTATAACAATCAATGAACCCCGAAATCCAATATCTACACGAGGAAAACAAAAACACGAACAAGCATCAACCATATGTTGATCTTTCATTGATTCAAATTCACAAAATCATGGAGAAAAGTAGCTCATGATGTGTCTTAGTGGATGTATGTGTAATAACCATGTAACAGCGTATGCCCAACATTAAAAATTCGGATACTTAGTATATATATATATATATATATCATAGTCTTGCCTAGGTAATGGCCACTTGTTTATGCTATTTTTCTCCCTAAACATACATGTGCAGAGGCTGTAGTGTTTCTTCAAGACACTGGTTTTGGCTGCAGAGGAAAACATACGACAATGGAAGGTAAGGCAGGGAAGAAGTGAGCGCTGGTTTTGGCAGCAATGGTGGTGACCCTGGTGGGGTTCTTAATTCTGGCACTGGATTGTGTGGAGTGTGCATTTGAGATCGAAATGAATCCATTGCACGCTTCCTCGTTGCGTAGCAGAATGCAAGAAAGCCTTGAAGGAGAAATATATGAGTGCAAGCTGTGCTATGGGGCTCCAAAGGGAAAAAGTTCTGTACATTCCTAGGCTAAGATTTAGGTGAGGACTGAGGACACTTGATTGTACTCTGTTGTCCTGACTTTGTCTGAACAGTGTCCTCTTCCCATCCAATTCTTCGGCATTTAAGTAGAATGACTTGAAAATTAAAACCAGCACTGTCGACATAAACATAAAATTATGGGCTTGTTCATGTTTCATAATTAAAAACCCCAAATCTATCATGTTTCTCCAAGTCAAGAGCACTCCAACTACAAGAAATTTCAAGAAAAATGCATGGAAGAAATAGAAATAGTTCTACAAAAAATTGTTTATGCAGTAAAAGAATGATGGACTAAACATGATAGATACTATGAAAAGCACAGCNTAGTTCTACAAAAAATTGTTTATGCAGTAAAAGAATGATGGACTAAACATGATAGATACTATGAAAAGCACAGCAACAGAATGTTAGTGATGGATCTACTACATAACTTCCTTACATTTTAAATTAGAATAGACCATGATTTCATATAAAACTCCTTCAGAGTGCACTGCCTGTCTAAGACTTTACTAAAGTATGATCCCTCTGTCCAGGCATCCCAGAATTGAATACCCTTTGTAAGATTTGGCAAATTTGGAAGAAAATGACTAATGTATACCAAAGTACGATCCCTCAATCCAGGCATCCCAGTATTGAATATCCTTTGAAAGATTTAGCAATTTTGGATGAAAATGACTCTTGGAATTGATAAAACTTTTTCAAGCCAAAGTGTATCGCTGGGGATTCAGCCGCTTGTATGATTCTTTGATGGAAAGAAATCACAAAAAAAGTATGTTGTAGCCATTTTGAAAGGATGAAGAAGCACCAAATCGGGGTTTGAATCTTCAATCGCTCCTATGTGGATTCAGTTTCCAAATCTTCCAATTTCTTTTTGTCAAGGCTACTAGTATCGGCAATAGGTCCGAAAAAGTATCTAAAAATATCAAATTTAAATATTTGTACCTTATCGAAGGAAGGAACTATGGCATATATGTTTGGAATAGATTCCATTTTGAGAGAGTTAACAATGCACGTGTATACCACCTAATAAGAATTGAACTATCACAAAATCACAAAAAAAATTGCACCTGCAAGACAAACGGCACCGTCAGATCAAGAAGATGCATATAATGTACGTTTTCTGGAAGCATCCCAGAACACCAGTGTAGTTCATATCCGAATACAAGAACTGCTTGAAACAGAGCTTCGCCTTTGTGACATTATCAAACCTCACAAAGCCCGGAACCAAGATCTCAAGGCAGAGAATGCAAGAATCTAACCAGTCCCTTCTCTAATTCAGACCTATTCCCCCGTAAAATGCCACTGATCGGGCCAATCAGAGGCTTCAAAGTTGGAATCGGTAGTACTATTCATTGTCGACACTGTAGATGATTTGATAAATTGACTGGAAATCACTGGTGCAGGTGGAGGCAGAGGAGATAAGTTTTCAGGGACGTCGATGAAGTCGTCATTGGAGATTTCAAGCTGGATTGCTCCACAGGGATTAGAATTAGGGTTCTGGTTAGGGTTTGAGGAGTTTATGGTTACTGTTTCTAGGTTTAGGGTAGGTTCTTGTAGTTCCATATCTATATATCGTCGTCGCAGAATTCGATTTGTGGTGGTTGGTGGTGGTGCTGTGGTTCCTCTTCTTCGTCGGAGGAACAGACCATTCGAAGCCGTCTTGGCGCCATTTTTGTTCTCCGTCTCTGATGGTGATTGCTGATTTACCCTCCATTTTTTTCACATTTTCTAGCTATATATCTAGTGAAGGGAAATCTCACTTTGCATCCTGAAAAATTAAGCTTTCTCACTTTATACCCTTGAATATAGAATTTCTCACTCACATACTCTCAATATATTCCGTCAATATCCACCCTATTGACGTTAACAGAATAAGTAATGAAAATTAACTAAATGGTCAAATTATAACACTTTTGATGTTTTAAGAGTGCAATATAGAAAATCTAATCTTTCATGGTGCGATGGAGGAATTCTTAAATGGTTTAGGGTTCAAAGTACAAATCATCCATATAGTGGGGGAAATAATCAGGGCACTGAAGTATTGGGCCTGCAATTGGGCTTTTCAAATTCGGTTTGAGCCCAACAATCTATGGTCCAGAAAGAGCCCAATGCTCGTCCACTTGAGCTTGTCACTTTACAAATTTGTTTTGAGNTACAAGAACTGCTTGAAACAGAGCTTCGCCTTTGTGACATTATCAAACCTCACAAAGCCCGGAACCAAGATCTCAAGGCAGAGAATGCAAGAATCTAACCAGTCCCTTCTCTAATTCAGACCTATTCCCCCGTAAAATGCCACTGATCGGGCCAATCAGAGGCTTCAAAGTTGGAATCGGTAGTACTATTCATTGTCGACACTGTAGATGATTTGATAAATTGAGTGGAAATCACTGGTGCAGGTGGAGGCAGAGGAGATAAGTTTTCAGGGACGTCGATGAAGTCGTCATTGGAGATTTCAAGCTGGATTGCTCCACAGGGATTAGAATTAGGGTTCTGGTTAGGGTTTGAGGAGTTTATGGTTACTGTTTCTAGGTTTAGGGTAGGTTCTTGTAGTTCCATATCTATATAATATATCGTCGTCGCAGAATTCGATTTGTGGTGGTTGGTGGTGGTGCTGTGGTTCCTCTTCTTCGTCGGAGGAACAGACCATTCGAAGCCGTCTTGGCGCCATTTTTGTTCTCCGTCTCTGATGGTGATTGCTGATTTACCCTCCATTTTTTTCACATTTTCTAGCTATATATCTAGTGAAGGGAAATCTCACTTTGCATCCTGAAAAATTAAGCTTTCTCACTTTATACCCTTGAATATAGAATTTCTCACTCACATACTCTCAATATATTCCGTCAATATCGACCCTATTGACGTTAACAGAATAAGTAATGAAAATTAACTAAATGGTCAAATTATAACACTTTTGATGTTTTAAGAGTGCAATATAGAAAATCTAATCTTTCATGGTGCGATGGAGGAATTCTTAAATGGTTTAGGGTTCAAAGTACAAATCATCCATATAGTGGGGGAAATAATCAGGGCACTGAAGTATTGGGCCTGCAATTGGGCTTTTCAAATTCGGTTTGAGCCCAACAATCTATGGTCCAGAAAGAGCCCAATGCTCGTCCACTTGAGCTTGTCACTTTACAAATTTGTTTTGAGGTTATTATCTCAACCATTACAATTCGATGTTTGTAAGAAGGATCTTAACTGACTTTGCTTTATAGACTGGACTCTTGTGAATATCTGGAGGTTGCACTACTGTTAGTTCAAGATGTGTATTGGTGGAAAAATGCACCGAATCAATAGATTGAATTTTAATCGGATTTTGTACTTATTCAAATATAAATTTAATAAAAATTCAAATTCGATTCTATAATTTGATTGATTTTTAAATATCTGATTCGAATATCCAATCTAATTAGAAGTGACGACTATATAATTCTTACACCTAAGAATATATTTTTGGAACTATTCAAAAAAATTGATATAGTGTCGTGTTTGAATTGACAAGTGACTTTGATAACCACACTAGTCTTCTCATTCCATGAATATAATGATCCTTTGTTATTTATCTCAAAACTCTGCTTTGAAACCTTCTAAAGCGAAATAGGCAAGCACACGTGTAAATAGTTTGCCTGAGTCGTACGACCCCAAGTGACACCTATTGTAGTGTAGCACTTGGGTTCAACCATCTCCTTACTGAGTTTGGCTTCTAATCTCTCATTGAGTCTCTAGTTCGTTACCTTTCACTCTCAATCTTCTCTTGCTCACAATATTCATGTTTACAATGAAATATCTAACTTTTTTCGACTTTATAGATGTACTTCATTCTTTCTTCTTTATTGTGTACATTTTATATATTTATATACATGAATGACTTGATACATTGTGAATTGGTTTTCCAAATTTATTGTCTAATTCAAATGATTCAACATTAAAACACAGTTTAGATTACGGTAATCTTAGTTGGGAATGGTAATCGCATTCTCAAGTCCATAGATTACAATGTTTGAGTAATTAATGAACATGTAACCTATATCAAGAATAAAACCCTTATTGGAACCATATTCTCAATGATGGTAAGAATCTTAAACTTATCATCGATGGTGGTCAAGTCCCCCTACCCCCTCCCCACCCCTTTCAAAATAAAAAAATGGTGGTAATCTCATACTTAACTTAATTGGGCATTCTTAAAAAAGAAAAAAATTCAAAATAAAAACACTTTCTCAAAATTTAGTAAATTCCTAAAGTCAAGCTCCCTTCCTAAAATAAAGTTCATTACTAAAAATAATAATAAAATAAATATTAATTCTCGTACTAAAAACTGGGTACCTTTTTACTATGAATGAGATATACATTCTTGATTAGGATTACTGTCATCCAAATAAGGTCCAAGAGTCTAATTATAATAGTTCAATGGACAAGAGGAAGATATATAAACCAAATCAAACAAAGTCTTATGTCTCAATCAATTGAGATTAGTTATGAGTTTGTCTTCATCATTCATTTCGGTAACATGCTATATGCTTATTTAATTTAAATATTTTCATATATTTTCTTATTATTTCCTTCGATGTTAATTTAGATCTACCTCTACTTCTAGTAACATTAAAAGAACTTCTATCACTTTTTTCTAACCGGTGTTGAATATGATCAAACTATCTTCATCTATTCTCTCTCAATTTGTCCTCAATTGGAGTTACTCCTACCATTTTTTTTAATATGGTCATTTTGTACTCTATCTTTTCTAATTTTTTTCCCACATCCACCTTAACATTCTTATTTCCGCTACACTCAAAGTTGTTTTTTAGTTGTCCAACATTTCATCTCATGCAACGTTGTTGTTCTTATCTCTCATAAACTTGAATTCACAAAATCATGTAGAAAAAGTATTTCTTTCTATCCGTATTACATGTAGATAGATGAAATCGGATTCGCCTTTAACATTAAATTGTAAGCTAATGGAGAGTTGTCTAGGCTATTTTTCTCTTTGTATATGTAGCTGTGCAGAGGCTGTAGTGTTTCTTCAAGACACTGGTTTTTGGCTGCAGAGGAAAACATCAGGCAATGGAGGCGAAAGCGGGGAAGAAGTGGGCGCTGGTTCTGGCAGCGATGGTGGTGGGATTCTTGATTCTGGCCCCGGATTGTGTGGAGTGTCAATTTGGGATCTTACTGCATCCATGCACACTCCCCAAGTGTGTAGCAGAATGCAAGAAGATCTTGAAGGAGAAATTTATGAGTGCAAGCTGTGTGACGGGCAACAAAGGAAACTTCTGTCTATGCCTGCCTGGGTTAAGATCTAATGTTAACACCATGATCTAATGTTAACCCCATGGTACCAAATAAATAAACTCCCTCCTTTTACTGCTCTCCGAAAGAGAGACATTTGCTGTAGTTTGAGGTAGCGTTTGGTAACTAGACATTTTAGTTTTTTACTGTTTTTGTTTTCATTTTATAGTTAAAAAAAAAATGTGTTTGGTGAATGTTTTTATTTTTTTTTAATTCCTCCGTTTTAAAAATAAGACTAAAATATGAAAATTTCCAAAATAATGTTTTTGAAAATATAAAAAAAAAAAAAAAAAACAAACGCGTGGATCCAAAAGGGGTTTAATGAGATCATGATTTCAACCCCCTTAGCAACAAAAAATTAATTTTCTTGGTTGAGTATATAAAAAGCCCCATTGACTTCTTTTTTCTTTTTTTTTTCCAGCTATCCTCCCCTCGCCCTCTCTGTGTTGGTGGGTTTCGGGGATGGTGGTGAGGTTGGGTGATGCTGGGTTTCGGTGGGGGTGGGTTTCAGGGGATGGGTGTGGGTTTCGGGGATGGGGGTGGTGGTGGGGTTCAGGGGATGGGTATGGATTTCGGTGGTGATGGGTTTCAGGGGATGGGAGTGGGTTTTGGGAATGTTGGTGGTTTGGGTTTGAGGGGATGGGGATGGGGATGGGGATGGGGGTGGGTTTGAGGGGGAGGTAGTTGGTTTTGGGGATAGTGGTGGTGCTGGGTTTCAATGGATGGGGATGGGTTTTGATGGTGGTGGGTTTCAGAGGATGGGGGTGGGGTTTTGCAAAAGGGTTGTGGGGGTAGGTTTCAGTGGTGGTGATGGGTGTTTGGTGGTGGTAGATGGTTGAGAGTTTGGTGGTGGTATTGTGTGGTGGATTTTTTTGTATAAAACCAAACATATTTTTTATTTTTGTTTTTATAATTTTTTAAATATAAATAATTACCAAACATGTTTTATATTTTTAAGTAACAGTTTCTTTTGCCGAGGAAACTCACAAGATTGTTACTGTGTTTTCGATGTTACTAGCATATCACAAAAGAGACAAAGTGCTTCCACTTGTTAATATACAATTTTTAGAAGTATTGACGTCCATCATTAACTCTCCAGTCAGTAACGACTCCTAAAACCTTTAGCATGTTTGACAGCATGACAAGCACACCAACCTTTTCCAATCTCTTAATGTGCATATGAGTGAGCATTTTACAGCCAACTCAAAATTAAGAAAATCACACAAAGAAAGTAAAAGGAGAAACTAATAATTAATACCTTAAAATGGGACATTTGCAAGAAAGATTGATATCTTTGGACATGAGGATTGGCTTCCAAGCCCAGTTATAGGCTGTTGAATCAAAACCCAGAATTCACCTTACTCCCCAAATTATACCACTGGAAAACCTAATTATCATTGAAGTCCAAAACTTCACAGAAGCTTCGAGTCTGGAACACAAGAAATCATACGTGAGCCGAAAGAACTAAGTTCAATAACACTGAGGAAGGAAAACACCATCGAATTAGGTCAGGGTGACCTTCAATTTCTTTGAATTTTCATGTTCTTCATTCTCTCTAACCTTTCCATTCTCAACAACATCCAAACTGCTGTCATCATCATAGTCTTTTTGGCGGTCACATGATTATGGCAAAACATTCGAACAGCCTGACTCAACGTTCTCTAACTTCTCCATCAAGCAATAGAAACCCATAGGCATCATAGGGAAGAGGAGACAGGTAGAGCAGTGACTGAGGGAGGAGAAAGAAGAGGCATGCTTGGGCAACAGAGAGGGAGAGGTGGAGGCAATGGAAAAGAGGCATCTGAGATTAGAAACGTTGGAAGTTGGAAGTTTGAATCGATAGAAGACCACCTATTATGTTTAATATGAAAATTTCTGAAATTCAGGAAAAATAGGAACTGGGGTTTGGAGGGAGCTCATCCGACCACACTACATTTAAATAGAATATAAAAATGCAAGAGGAATGTACTCTGCTATCCCGGCATTGTATGAAAGTGCCAGTTTCCAAGCAGGTGTTGAAAAATAATTAACAGTCTTAGCAATGAAACCAGAATTATCGACATAAACACAAAATATGAGCTGGTTTACATTTCATAATTAGAAGTGCAAGTATGATATGTTCCCAAGAACATTACAACTATAAGCAACTAAAAGAGAAACACGTGAAAGTAAAAGAAATTGATCTACAACAATTGTCTGCAGCAAAGAATGATGTACTAAACAAGCTACATACTATGGGAAGCCTGACATGTTTATGATGAATCTCCTACATAACTTCCTTACATTTTAAATTAGATACCTTCAGAGTACAGTGCCTGTCTGAGACTTTACAAAAGTGTGATCCCTCAATCCAGGCATCCCAGTATTGAATACCCTTTGTAAGACTTTTATCCGCTCTTCTATGAGAGACTCTTCCAGTTCCTCCATTTGTGAGTGTTCCTTTTCCATTATCAGCTCCAAATCTTCAAAATGCTTGATTTTGTGGTGCATTTTCTTCAACTATGCATGCATTCATCAAAGAATAAACATCAAGGTCTGTGTACTTAAAAAATGGCATTTCATTGAAGGAAAAAAAAACTAAATAAAATAAGATGACCAACTAGAGCAGTTATCCGCATAGGATTTTAAGGTGGAGGGTAAGTTCACTTTCTCATGGCTCTGACTCATTATTGCATTAAATCGCTTGTGTAATTGCGTAGGAATCCGACAAAAAGTATAACTTACCTGTGTGTCGAGTATAGTTGCCACTAAATGTTCTATTTCTCTGTCTTCCTGATCTGCCAATAACTTGGCATGAGCAGCAGCAGCACCCAGAGCCGTTGCAGTTGCAGCTCTCATCCGTAAAGTCAAGGGGATAACATCCTTCTTGAGAGATGTCTCCTGATTTTCTGCAAGACAAAATGTATTCAGTTAGAGGGGTGAGAACTGAATATGCAACATACAGAGCAATAATACAGCAGGTCAACAACACAGTGCCGCAATTCTTATGGAGTCTCAAACAATGAAAGTGACACCATTTAGGGCAAAACTACAAAATTATATTTACAGCGCATTCATAACCACCAAAATACTGAGGAAAGTTAAGAAAAAGAAAGACTACTTTAGATTTAGATACAACAAATACCTGATTGCGTGGGCCTTTCCTCCATCTCTGATTCTTCAACCTCAAGGGCTCTGACACAGTGAAGATGTAAATTCATTCCAGATGTTAATAGTGTAACAACCACTAAACGGATATTAATGCTAAACTATATAAATGGTCGGATCAATGACCTCTCTTTCTCGTTATTTTGAAGGGAAGATCCTAACTCATCACCAGCATCATCATCACCATCAAATATTTCCCTTGTACATTGGTTTTCATAGCAAAGGGCTGTAACGGCTGCCTCAGCTGCAGAAGCTGTGATATGTGACCCAACCATGGTAGAGATATGAGCGGCCTAATGAGAAAAAAAAAGGGTAAATCATGAAAACAGTAAGCCCAAATTTCTGCCAATGAAGTGTATAAGACAATAAAGCACTATAAACCTCAAACAGATTCCCTCTTTCTCAGACAAAAAGTTCTACAATCTAGGCAAACTAATATATCACTATCACAATAAGTTTAATAAAAGTTTATGAACCTCAGAGAAGCTTACCAGCATGAGATTTGAACTAAAATTAGAATAACTTCATAAGACAAAGAATCTGATTTCTCACAATTGCTTCTTGCTGAAAGGATTCAGATCAAATTAACTGACAAGTCACAATAATCCTTACCTGTTTCATCAGTGTACTACTGGTATCTGATATTGGAGCAGTGCATACTCTCTTTGGTGGAGGACCTTCATTCTCGGCATCTCCAATCTGCTGAGTCTCAACCTTAAGCTCATCGTCATCTGTTTTGACACTCTCTTGAGACTTGCTTGAAGTGAACTGTAGTTGCTTGACACCGCTTACGTTGCCATTGGAATCCCAAAGTCTTGCCTTTCCATGGGCAGATCCCAACATAAGGTCCCCAAAAGGTAGCTGTATAAGCTTTAAAATACAGTCCAGCTTACTCTTTGTTTGAACATTTTGAGTGACAAGCTCCCAGTCATCTCCATGCTTCAAAACAGATTCTAAAAGAAGTAAAGTTTCTGCTTCAGTCCAAACTGCTCCATGGTCACCACTGTCTAAAACGCAGTCAATGAACTTGAAATCATCCCCAGACTTGCTCTCCCCATAGATTCCGTTTTTAAAGCATGTCACACAAATACTGAGACTTCCTTCCTGCTGCATGTAATAATAAATAAACATATGAACTTGTAGGCCTAAGACTTAAAATGAGAGAGAGAAACGTCGCAGACAAAGGATCCCTAAGTTTGGTTTATGGAATAGTCAAATTGACTAAGTGGGTACCACATCAATGGGTCTCACATCACATACCAAATAAGATAAATCTTCTTCACAGCCATATGCCACTTGAGGCCTTGGGCACATAATGCAGGACAAGCCTGTTCCTGCATACGTGTGCCTATCCTAAATATATAAAATCAATTCGATTCCAACTTTATTGGGATGAAGAATGTGTCAATTAATGAATTCAACATTTGGATACCAACAAATGGACCAGTATGAAATAATACCAACCTTACGAAAATGGAAGTAAAAGCCAAAAAGGAATATACAGGAAAGACACTTGCAGAAAATTGGGGAACCAGATGAGCAACTATGACAAACAAATACAGACAATGTTTTAAAAAATAGGGAAGCCTTTATTTCCAATAGGTTCTGAAAGATTACCTGCAGACAAACCATATATCTTTTACACATCGGAAGAATATACAAACTAAACATAATTAATATACTCAATCTGAAGATCAAAGCAATTTTTATTCTAATCAGCACAAACAAAGCGAAAAAGCTATACAATGCAAAAGAAAACCAATATACCTTTATATATTCATAGTGTCCCGAATTGCACAGCTCTTTACAATTCCCACAAAAGATACCCTTTCGTTGCTTCATCAACTCGCCATAAACATCCGAAAACGAAGCCAAAGGCGGAAATTTAAACCCATTCTCCACCAAATCACCACCACTCTCCCCAACACCCACACTTGGCGGCAACGAAACCGGCTTCAAGGAATTCGGAACCGCCACGACCCTGACTCCATGTGGAACCCCTTCCTCAACCCTAACATTCCACCTCTCATCCTCTCTATCCCCATCACCAGACGCCGCCGCCGCCGTTGCAGCATCAAAATTGATCAACCCCCATTTTTCAAGCAAAGAGAAGACCTTCTGGAGATAGCTAATGTCACCTACCAGCGATTTACGTACCTCGCTGAAAGTGAGTCTCCGCGACGGGTCTTCTCTGTACTTATTGATGATGAAGTCTCGGTAATCTTTATAGATTTTGGGGGTTCGAGTGAAAGAACTCCCATCGAAAAATTCTCTCAACGAGAATCTTTCGATTTCGTGAATAGAGTCCCAAGAGAACCAACCTGAAATAAGAGAAAATTAGGGTTAGGGTTTTAGATATACATTATATGTATATACACCGAGAGAGAGAGAGTTACGGGAGTGCGTAGGGATGGTGTAGAGATCGAGCTCGGACTCGGACTCGTCGGCGCGAACTGGTGGTTTAAAATTTGGGTCCTGTGAGCTCTCCATTAACGGATTAAAGGGCTAATGAGTTTTCTGAGTCTGAGTTGAGCTGAGTCGGTCGTTAAGCCTCGTCTCTCTGTGACTATATGGTTGAGGAAAATGTGTCTCTCACCTGCTAGGGTAGATAAGTTACGTGAATGACGAAGCAAATTTCGACACGACGTCGATCAATCTGATTTGGCAATCCTAGACTAAAATAGTGGAAGTGAAATCCTCGCTGTCTGTTAGGCTTTTCTGTCTATTGGCCCAGTAGTTTTTCAGCCCACGTTGCAAAATAGCGTGCACTCCAACTTAGTTTTTATTTTCGGTAAATTAGAAGTGGTATATTAAATTAGGTTTAATTGTGAAAAAATATACAGAAAAAAATATAAAGTAATGAAGTCTTTAATTTTAGTTCTTAATTATGTCCATGTACATAATTTGAAATTTTTGGATTTTCCTTTGACATTTGTGTCCTCCCTTAAATCATGTGATTATTTTTTGAAACTGTTTTTTTTTCAAATTATATTTATGCATTAAAAATATCCTAATAAAAGATTTAATTTTTTTGTTTATTTTGAGCATAAATCAATTGATTTGAATTTTAAATTTTGCAGTAGTATCATTTGTTGTTTTCTTTTTTTTCAGCCTGAAACCAATTTATCAATATAAGTCCAGAACATTATTTCATCCTTATTATTCAATCTAAGCAATTATAAGATTTGAATTAATAACTCTATTAAGTTTATGTCTGTCATTTTAAAGGAGATTATACTGTTTTTTTATATGTAAACACCATAATCGAAGTCTATTATATATATGCGAACATTTTAATATTTTACTGTTACAGTGTAACAATAACAGTATAAAAATTTACTTACACAAAACAATGTACTGTTACATTTTGTCAAACATATAGTTACATATAACTTTATTGTAATAGTCCAGATCTATTTTGAATTTGTTACCACTAAACATTGTTTGTATTACAGTGTTACACTGTCTTTGTTACACTATGCGGGAAATACAATCAACAGTTATGAGATACATACAGTTTATTTACACACAATTAATAAATATGGCAGTAGATGTTGTTGACGAACTTACATATACAATGGTGGACCAATATAATTTTTCTTTCAAAGACGAAACTCAGTAGATGTTCAGGATACGATTTAAAGCTTCTAACCGAGGAAGATGAAGTAGTTTTTGGATAGGAAAAAGAAGCATTAATCGGTTTCCAAAGACGAAGCTTTTCGCAAATTAATGTTCCTAAAATTCAAAGGTTAAGTCTTATCACTATCTACCTATTTAATTTTAAAATATATTATGAAAACTGTTTTTAGGAAAGTAAGGGGCTGTTTGGTTTGATTCCCAAAAATTGTTTTTTGTTATCAAATCTAAAAAAAAGTTCAAAAGTTGTTTGGTTTGAGATTTTGTTCTCCAATTTTCAGAAAAAAATATGGGATTGAAGCATAAAACTAGAAAACAAGTTGGGCTTGTTTTCAAGCTTATTTATGTCAAAACTAAAAAACACGGGGACTTGTTTTCAAGCTTAACAAGGTATCTCATTCGAGTTTCCTTAGAAGCAAAACAAGTCATGCATAAAAGCGTTTTTTGTTTTTTTTGCCTTTTCTCCCAGACTCTCGTCACTCTGTCAATCTTTTTCTCTCTTTCTCTCCATAGATTCTCTCAGATGAAAGACTTCTTCGGTGACTGTGTCTTATCTGACAACTGCGTCTTCTCCAACAAAATACACACACACACACACACACACTAGAGCTCTCCAACGACTAGATTTGATATTTTTTATCAAACACATATCTGATATTTTTTTTTTTTGATATGATCTAATTTTTTCAGAAATATTGACACAGATCTGATTTTTTTTATCAAACACATATTGATTATGTTATTGGTGTTGTTATTGATCTAATATTTTTTAGGTAAAAAATAATTTATTGTTATTTGGTTTATTTTTTTATATATAAATTGATATTGAATATGTTATAAATTGAAGATCATTTAATTTGTTTAGTTTATTTTAAAATTTGGTTTATTAATTTTTTTATGAAATTGTCCATCTAAAAATAATGTTCACTTATTTTTTTATTAATTTTTGAATTATTATTCAAACATATATTTAAGCTGTCCAAATAAGTTTTACTGTTTTCTGTTATGTAAAATTGTTTTTGAAATCATATAACCAAACAAGTTTTTCGTCTTAAAAAAAATCAAAAATACTTTTTTAAAACTCTTCTCAAAAACTGTTTTCAGATATTATTTTTTGAGATGCAAACCAAACAGGGCCTAAAATATTCGTGAGTTAATGTTCCTAAAATTTAACGGTTAAGCATTATCACTGTGTAGTTAATTAATTTAAGATATATTCCAAAAATCTTTTTTAGGAAAGTAAATTTTAGAAAATGGGCATTTAAGTATTTGTATCTCAACAGTGTACTTCGTTCCAACATATTTTTTATGTGTATTTTTTTACAATTTTGTCTAATTTAGTGTACCGGCTTCCAAATAACCATTTTATTTTAAGAATCTTTAAAAAAAAACTTAACATTTTATTTGTAAAAGGCAGAGCGAGGAAATTAGCTTAGGGTGGCACATTAATAAGTTTTAATTTTTTTTTCAATTGATCACAAAAGTTCATAAATACATATTTGTTGAAATCATATTTAATTCTTAAAAGTTTATTGAACAAAAAAAATTAAAAACTGATCTACATAGCATACACAAAAGATAAAAAAGAAATTAATTATAATTTAGTACCAAGAATTAGATTAATTATTATCATTTACAATTGGTCTAATAATTTTTTATCTTTTGAAAGCATTACAAATCAACCCCATCAACAAATATTTTTTCTATATATAAAATTATGGTAACAATCTTTCATTTATGACTTTGTAGTTTCTTACATAATGACATTTATTTTTATATAATAATAAGATAATCCTATAATTTTAAAAAATTGAAAAATGACCATAATATATCCAAAATTTATTTAGACATGTTCAAAGCGTATCTGAAAGTTAAGAATAATGTTAGTTTTACCTAATTTGAGATTTAGTTAACGAGGACCTAATGACTTCTACTCGACGTTTGGATAGTAACTTTGTTCGGGACTCAGTATTAGACTTAATGCCACAATATAATATGTGTTGAAATTAGGTTCCAATAGCATTAGTCAAAAGTTAATAGTCATTTAGATAGGAGTTTTTATCCTAATCACAATAACACAATAATAGGGTAAACGCAATTAAAAATGGTTAAATTTTATTTTAAAAAATACATACCCAATCAAGCTAAAAAAAATGATGGTATGCATGTGCCCCTAGTCCAATGGTGGCTCCACCCATATTTGTAAACAATAATTTCACACAAGCAATAAACATCCTCGATATATATTCTTGTATACTAATACAAGGTGAGATATCCTCCAATATATCTAGATAATCAATGAAAACTATAAACAAATGATCAGCAACGAGACTCGTTTTTGTTGCTAGGCAAAATATCAGATTGTTACTTTGTCCAATCGACTCTTATTTCAAGACTATTTATGAATGCAGTGTAACATCATCTTTACCAACCTCCATTGTACATACTTTTAGGTGTGACCACTAAAAATAATTGCTTATACACTAAACAATTGCTTATATATGTTTACCACACGGTTTTTGAACGTTCTTGAATAAATGCATCATTCGCTATCATATAACGAAAAACAATGGCAAATAACATTGGAAGAGATGGCTAAGCTCAAACTCCACAGGAAATAAATCAAAAATTGATATAAGTGTCTTTCTTTTTAATTGATCATCTATCATGCATTCAAGTGAATCATATTTAATATAAAAAAAAAAGTGAGACACATTTGTATATCAGCCAACCAATAAGAGAATTGAAAAAATATAGATTGGATAAGGTGTAATCTTGATAGAACAAAATTAAGCATGTTTGATACACTATGAGCACACAATAACTTAATGGTGTACACTGGACCTTCGCATCAAGGTGTCTCAGAGGAGATTAATGGTATTGGCATTTGGGTCAGCTTGGCATTTATGATCGACCCCGTTCACCAAGTCAGATCTTACGAATCCATCAAATGTCGAAATTAATGTTTCTCTATGACCTTACGCTACATTGCTATTTACATTGGAACAGGACTAGGAGTATATGCACCGGATAATTTCTGCAATAATATCAGATAGTAATTTCTAAGTTGGCGAATCTGAAATAACAGGGTCAGACGAGCGCCCGACTAATCCCCTCTGAAGCTTAAATCAGTATAAGGTCGAAGAGTTTTTCTCAATAAACTATTTTTATGATTCAAGTTTGCGTATCTTTGTCTATTTTTTTTATGAGCATTTATACTTAAATTAGCAATGATTGTCAAAGATCTCCTGTCCCATCTGAACATCTTACATCTGACACACTATTCCTCGTGCAGTGAGTGTTTTCTACTCACGTCTCCTTCTATTGAATGCTAGAAAAATGGGGTAAATGCTCGACCAAATGCCGAACATTTATGCCACTCCCCGAGTACCCAAATCCCCCAGATCGACATCCAATATCAACTGAGCATTGAATACTCGGGGAAAACAGTTCTTCGGAAGAGCCGATCGCGTCGTGTCGGCGCCTCAATGTATCTAGTAACTCACATGCCCGACTCGGACAAGGGGTACGTAGACGATCTGATCATGCTCGGTGGAAGTTGGGAGAAAGGGTCTGGCCCAAGTATGACGGATTGTACTGTCCTAAAGTGTCGAGGGATGAAGGTGTTTTTTCTTTCCGACTTCTTGATTTTGTTATTCTTAGGTCCGAGAGATGCACTGATTTTGCTTTGCTTTTGCAGAAGGATATTGCCGGGACGCTGCTCAACCGTTGAGGTCCCAAGTCCGATTTGCTGACCTGCTAAGGGTTTGGTCTTCAGACCCAGTTGAGTGAGCGGCGCATACTCTCCTTGGCTACACGCTGACTTACACTCGATTCTCCCAGATCCCACCTCCTTTCAACCCTTCTGTTTGGGAAGACCATTCCTCATCGAAAGAGGAAGAATCTG